GAATGTCTTTGATAGTCACTTAGATGTTTTTTCCCCCCAGTCGCACTTGTTTGTGCTACAACTGGTCCATCGGCCCTCAGTTCGCTCTGTCCTCCAAGGCTTACTGAAGAAGAGGCTTCTGCCTGCAGAGCACTGCATCACCAAAGGTATTCACGTTCATTTTGCACCCTTATGTCCTCATTGCTCTGTACTTGTTTACTCACTGTGTTTCTTCTCCTGCCTCACAGTAAAGAGGAACTTCAGTAGCGTGGCAGCGTCGTCGGGCAATACCACATTAAACGGGGAGGATGGCGTGGAGCAGACAGCCATCAAGGTTTCGCTCAAATGTCCAATCACCTTCCGGCGAATACAGCTTCCAGCAAGAGGGCATGACTGCAAACATGTTCAGGTAAGACTTCAAGGATACACCATCACAGTGACACACAAATAGAAATATACATTAAAAAATCTATTTTCTTGTTCTTGCAGTGTTTTGATTTGGAATCATATTTACAACTGAACTGTGAGCGGGGAACATGGCGATGTCCTGTATGCAAGTATGTCTAAGGAGTTAAAATGCTAAGGATGCACTTGCCTTATTTAGATGACTTTTTCTTAAATACTATTTCTCTTTTTTCCTCAGTAAAACTGCGTTGTTAGAAGGACTCGAGGTGGACCAGTACATGTGGGGAATCCTGAATGCTATTCAAAAGTAAGCAGAAATAGGAACATCAGTGCAATCTTATATGCATATGTATTTTTCTTTTAACTTAACTATTTGATTTCATCTACATTTTATCAGCTCTGAGTTTGAGGAAGTGACAATTGACCCGACGTGTAGTTGGCGGCCGGTGGCTATAAAATCAGAAATTCACATAAAAGAAGATCCAGATGGACCACTGGCAAAGAGGTTTAAGACGATGAGTCCCAGCCAGATGATCATGCCTAATGTGATGGAGATGATAGCTCAACTTGGCCCCGGACCCTCACCATACCCATCGCTTCCTTCTGGGCAAGGAGGCAATAACAGCGAATACGGAAGCCAAGGTAGCTCAAACACGTACAAAAAGTACAGTAGCACCCAGAATTATGCAAACAAAGCAGAGCAACAACAAAAATTTTTAAACATATTCTGTCTGCGTCTAGGCAACAGTTACCAGAGCCATGGGAACTTTGATTTCCCTCACGGGACCCCTGGTGGTACGTCGATGAATGACTTCATGCATGGTCCCCAGCTGTCTCACCCACCTGACATGCCCAACAACCTGATGGCACAAGACAAGCCACTGTCCCACAATATGCCTGACACAGTGAGTTTACCAACAATTCCTATTATACTAACTCTGTCATATTTTGTTACATAATGTATTCTTTTTGCTTTACTTTGTATATAGACTATCTATAAAAGTGGGAAAATACTGGCAGCAACCAGTTAGCATAGCTTAGCATAAAAAACAGTTACTGGCTACAGCTAAATTAAATATGCAACTTGAGTCAGAATAACTAAACTTAACAATAATTGGCTCCACTTCCATATAACTTACATATTAATAAAGTTAGCCAAGCTAGCTGAGCTAGCTAAATTATGGCTTTAGCTTTATTTATAAAGTGTTTGTTGGAGGTTGTTAGCAGTCACAAAATGAAACGGGTTGAAAGACGTATATGGCTATTCTGAATTATTCCCCCTCTCTTACTCTACAGATACCTCATTCTGTTGGCAATGACCAACCGCATGGTCCACTGCAGCAGAGTTTACACGCGTCTCCACACCCTGGGAGCCAATCAGGGCAGCAGCTACACCACAGCGGGCCTCCTCAGCCCTCACGACAAGCTCCTCCTCCTCAACAACAGCAGCAACAACAGCAGCAGCCTGGCCCCAACAACCACCCTCACAGCGACCTGGCCTTCAACCCCTCCAGCAGTTTGGACAGCCAAGCAGGGTCAGACATGCCTGAGCCGTCCTTAGACGTAAGTCCTCTGAAACAATCAGAATCTTCACATCTTTAATCTGACATATTTAACAGTTGATGCAAGGAGATTCCTTGAATACTTACATAGCAAATTTTTGTTGTCCTTCCTTCTACCATACAGCTTCTTCCAGAGCTCGCTAACCCAGATGAACTGTTGTCCTACCTGGATCCCCCAGACCTCCCCAGCAATAGCAACGATGACCTTCTATCGCTCTTTGAAAACAACTGAGGCGATTCAGAAACATATAATCACTGACTGCTGCAGTTTCCCTGAGAACCCAAGGTGGTCACTCAGTACTTGATAAACACAAAGATGCACTCCCTTTCTCTTCTTCCTCTTGTACAACTTTCATTCGCCAGCACAGATTGACTGAAAGAGGTTACAACTCAAAGACACGGCAAGGGTTTTCCCTGCCCTCTCACCCAGAGGTGATAACTTTGAACTGTGCAGCTATACTCAGTTGATTTTTTTTTTTTAATGTCACACACATGTGTATGTGTGCTTATTAGGAACGTGTTGTAGCATTTTTTTTTTTATTCGTGTTTTGTTTCCTTTTCCGAAGAAAAAGGAATTCACTGTAAAAAAACAGAAAAATAACTGAAAAAACCTGCGCTATCTGGCCAGTGCGTTTTATCTTATTCCAATCTGAGAGGCCACAGCTTCCTGGTGTCGCAGCTCCATTCCCTGACTGGTCTGGTTAATCGCACTTTTTTGTCCACCACACATCATTTAAAAGCACAAGAGATTCTGACAACGCAAAAACACAAAAATCTGCCTTTCCAAAAATAAACAAAAAATAAGATCAACGTGCCCATCTTTGACAAAATGTCTTTTCTAAAACAAATTTTTGCTCCTCTGCCAAGATTTTAAAAAATATTTTTGGGACTGATCGGCATCCACTTTGTCTACGATTGTGCTATTTTTTAAACACATAGATGTCCCTCCTTTTTGGTTTCGACAGCAGAAAATGAAAAGAAATTGCCCCAATTACACCAAACAACATTCATAACAGAGTAGCATATCTGTCCATCTACATATTGTAAAGTTATTGTCCCTTGTACAAAGAAGGGATTTCATTGGAAACGTAAGGTACAACGTGCGAGGTTTAGGTTCCTGTGACGATCCTGCTTTGTCGCTTCCTGCTACAACTCCTTCCATCAGCTCTGCATGAGCCATCGTGTTTCTCTTGTCAGCAGTTTTGCTGAATTACATCTCTCTTCCCGGTTAAATGATGTTGTTTAAGTAATCTACAAAGTGCATGTGTGCCAAGCCCTTGTCTAGTGCTGTTCCAAGTGGTGATAACAAAAGATAGTGTGGTTTTTATCAGTTGCTGTTTCCACAGATCTTCTTTGTTTGCTTGTTTTATGATTTTCTGTCAGGTTTAGTATGATTTTATTTAACACTAACATTGAAGGGATGATGTTGATGTCAGCAGTACATTTATCATGTATTTGCTGCATATACTGTGTTATGTTTATTATGTTTTGTTTTTTTTATTGTTGCTGCACAATTAAACTATACATAAACCTTTTGGGAAACTGCTCAACATCACCAAAGTTAGTGGGATGAGAATGGAAATGTTTGTGCTTGCTTGGTCCTGTAAAGACTGAAAGTGTGTGCACGCAAGTGTGTGAGTGTGTGTGTGTGTGTGTGTGTCAGCGTGATTGGATGTAATATTGGTTTTAAAGATAAAGTAGAGGACAGTTTATCCATCACTGCTGTTCAAGAAGTGGTTTTCAAAGCAGTATTGGTGCAGATTTCTTTCTTTTTGCCACATTTGTTTTCATTTTAATGTTAAAAAAAGAGTGCTGTTCTGTATGCAAATGTATTATTTTTTAAGAAATGCTATTGTACTGTAAATATCATTGTGAATATTTTTGTATCATCTTGATAATGTTTGTCCTTCGATCATTAGTCGTCCAACTTAACCACATATGCTCCCAAACCAGCATACGGCTGTCTCGTCTCCACGCCGGGGCGTAGCCAGCCCAAGCATTTCATAAGCTATCGCAGGTCGTCGTCGTTTCCCCCGAGTCGCTTTCCCACCTGTTCATGTCCTAATATTTGTTGTCCCCTTCCTTGCATCAGCTCAAAGTGCTTGTGTATCATCATTTCAGTTTTCAGACGTTGCACTCAGTTCAAAGCAATATTTTCCCTCATGCTACGATGTATTGATTCAAAATGATCAATGTTGTCTGCTCATGAATTTATGTTGACCTTCGTCAGTGATGCTGAACAGTAATGGGTTTCGAATTATGTGGTGTCAGCTGGCTTTCAGTGTAATTAGTGAGCTATGTGAATATCATAATTGTTGCTAATTGTCAGTGGTATTTTAAAGATATATCACAACCATATTTTAAAGAAATTCATGATATTGTTTATATTTTTGTTATAGAAAAAATGTGGCTTTTTTTAAAAAGCATGAGACCATATACATTTTTATCCCCCTTTGTTCTTGGTAAATTATTTTGTACTGGTTTTCTTATTAATCTGTAAGGCTAGAAATCCAATTTCTTTCAATTGTAGCATTGTGCTGAATCAACCATCCTGATTTCATGTACGCATTATTTTTAAATGTTATAAAAGGAATTTGTTTTTTCCTATTCAGAGCCCTAACTTGTTTCATATTTTAGTCACAAGGAAACATCAAATCAAAAGTCTGTGCTTTCAACAGTTCACTGGTGTGTTTTCATTCTTCGCGATCTGAATTGAAACTTTTAAACAATCCCACGGAAGTCTTTATCATTTCAGTCTTTTTCTTCTTCTTTTCAAATTGGTGAAAAAGGCAGCACCCCTAATTTGTAGTTGCACAATCACAATAAAGGGACATTTCTCTGGGGGGGATGTTGTTTTAAAAGAAAAAAACAGTTGAAAAAAGAAAACGAGTTAATAAAAAATTTAAAAATTAAAAACAAAAACAAAAAAAAGGAAGGGCACGTTCACTAGTTTGACCTGGAAAGGATTTTAAGACCAGGTCAAACATCCCAAGGATGCCTGTATATATGTAAATTAATATAGAGACATGTGAACAGAAATGTATTCATTTTCCCTGGGAATGTGCATTGTTTCTTCAGAATAATAAAAAGCTTGCAACCCCTCTACTGGAAGTGGCTGAATATGGAAAATGAAACTTGTTAGTTAGTGTCTGTGGGTATCGCTCAGCATTTTGTTCCCACTCTGTATTATACTTTCACCTCTTTTGTTACGGGAACTGGGACAGCAATGTTTTACATGTAATATTTAGCCTAAGTGTTCTAGTCTGTCACCTGCATACTCTGAGGTGCTAAAGCTAAAAACTTAAAAAACAAATACATTTAAAAAATAAAAAAATACATACAAAGCAAAACAAACAATAAAAAAAAAAAAAACGGTTACAAAGAAAACTGCTCGGAGGTGAGGAAGAAGCACGGTGGGAGGGACGGGTCCAGAAGATTGTAACCAATCCATAGTTTGTACAATTTTTAATATCATGAACAGTTGGAAAAATTATACAATCTAAGGTGATTCATGCAATGTGGCCATTGTCTCTCTGTTTGTACATTGTATGTACAATCATTTCATATTCTAAACTGGTGAGAAAATAAAGGAACTAATTGTGATTTTTAGTCTTGCAGAACTGTATGTAGTTAGATGATGTGACAACCTAATATTTATCTAATAAATATGTATTCAGATGATACCTGTATGTCACTGTGATTTTGTCTTTTGTGCACTTGTGATGCAGTCTGCGAGATGCAGTCTGTCTGACTCGCGTGCTGTTTACAAAAGCACGAGGTGTAAATTGTGGATTTTTACTCAGATTTTCATTGAGTTGGCTCAAGGTCGCCTTGCCATTGAGTGAAAAGTTGACAAACTAATAATTACTGACACGTCAAAGTAAGGCTCTCATGAATTGCAATCGCCAACTGACCATTTTTTGAGAATCAGTCAACAAAGTAACGGAATTTCTTTAGAAAATATCATTATTGAACACTCTGTTACAGTCCTTTTTTAAAAAGTACTGTACATTTTATTATTCTTACAAGATTGAAAAAGGAAAGTGAGAAGTTCAATTTCCAGTTCTATTGTATGTTGATACCAATTAGATGCCTTATCATAGTTCTCCAGTGTGCAACTTCAGGCCATACAGGTTTCAGTTTTTCAGACACAACTATTGGTTCAGTAGCTAATGTTGATTTGAATGTTATACAACCATGCATAGGTCGATAGAAGTCACTCCCTAAACAATTATGATTCATAAGCTGTCAAAACTGCTTTTGTCTAAACATACAACCAGTGACTGACTGTTCAAGAAATATACAAGGTGGGAAAAAGACCAGTGGCGTTAATGTGTAATTCCAGTCTCTTTTTACTGTGAATGTAACTAAATAATAACATTAAAATATTAACACACTACAAGCTAACATTTAGCATTTAAAAACTTCATTTAAAATGAAAAAGTCTTGAGGAGTTTATGTTTTTGGTAGCAATTGTGTGCATGCATAAACGGTTGTTCTGTCCTGTATGTAAACATGATAGCATGAATTAATTATGTACAGAGGGTGTACACAGGGGGCAAGTTAACAATCCATTAAAATCCATTAAAAACAAACAAAAAAAACCCTTACAACCTTAGAATTTTAACTAAACTATAATTCTTCTGAGGATGGTGTGTAATATCAACACAGATCAGGTATAACATTGAGACCGCTAAAAAGGAGATGTGAATAACACTCATTATCTTTTCATCATGGCACCTGTCAGTAGATGGGATCTATTAAAGAACAAGTTGATGTGTTGGATGCAGGAAAAATGGGCAAGCGCAAGTATTTGAGTGAGTTTGAAAAGGGCCAGATTGTGATGAGAGGACTGGGTGAGAGCATCTCCTATAGTGCAGCTGTTTTGGGGTGTTCTTGATTTTCAGTCACGAAAAGGGTCACGTACATGTGCTACCTATCTAAGCAGGGTTGTGGACAATACAAACCCTTCATAATTCCCTGACGGCTGTGGCCTCTTTCAGCAGGATAACCCGCCCTTGCAACAAAGCAAAAATAGTTCAGGAATGGTTTGAGGAACAAAACAACGAAGCTGCCTCCTAGACGTCAATCCAGTTGAACATCATTGGGATGTGCTGGACAAACAAGTCCAATCCATGTAGGCCAGACCTCACAACTTAGAGGACTTAAAGGATCTTGGTGCAAAGCACACCTTCAGGGGTGTAGTGGAGCACACCTTCAGGGGTGTAGTGGAGTCAGTGTTGCCAACTTAGCGACTTTGTCGCTATATTTAGCG